CATGGAGAAGTTTGGTAGAAACATACAAAAGGCTTCAATATCTTGTATACTACCTACTTTAAAAAAAAAAAGAGTATTTTTTTGAAAACACTCATGATCTAATAATTATTATATAGGTTATTAGTTTGTGACCTACCTATACATATTTTTCCCATTGAAAATAATTCATATTATTTATTAGGTATTTACTATTGTAACCAAAATGCCAAATTTCAATGAAATGTGATCCCTAATCAAAAACTTTTGATGCTCATGTAATATGAAGTAAAATTGTGCGAAAATCTCTTCGGGCMAAATAACTTTTAATAGTGTGAAAAAACTAKATTTTTGACGTGTATCRAAGATTAGATAAACTAATTTTTTTCTATTAATTATAAGAAAACAGTTTCATCAATTTATTATTATTTACAAATACCTACCAACCTACCATTCTACYAGTTYGGTATAGTTTTATAACTATACCAAGAAAATACTTTGGCTATTCGCATAATTTTTAAATCATAAAAAATAATGTGCAAACTATAAGCTGTAACATATTAACTAAAGCATGGGAATATCAGTAGGCATGAACGTRTTTTTGTCGCTTACGTCATCTAACGGCAAACAACTTTTGTATTCGCTTTGTCGAGACATTATCCCTGTACGCAGCCCATCAGTATACTAAAGTCCCAACAATTTTAGCCTGAAAAATACAAGTACCACACCCATTTATGGTAGTTTTTAATTTCAGCGTACAAACGATAAACGAATGACACGCAACGACGCAACTTACAAAGTCGCAAACATGTGCCACACCTAAATACCTATACCTATATGTAATAACACGATACGGTAGACGTAGACCTGTAGATTTATCACAACCGCCAATGTTTGTATTTGTATAATATATACCTATGTGACAATTGTCGTCAAAAGCTATATTATACCAATTACTTAAATTATTATTGATCCAATAGAAATAATTTATTAATATTTGAAAAGGTATGATGTATGAGATACACTCAAAAACCATTATAATCAAATATTACTAGGTAAGTAAATTATATTTCCTTTTTAATATTGGTTTCCTACCTAACAAAAATTGAAAAATCATACATAATAATTCTATGTATTTCTTAATCCGTATACATGTAATATATTTATAGCAAATATTCTTATTTACCTATTAGTAATTTATGGGTGACCTTCTTGCATGGACGAGTGTGTTCTAAATTTTAACATAAACGATTATTATTCATTAT